GTCAAGAAATTATTTCTATCTTTCTTACATGGGATTCGCTAATTGATTAGGTTCAATATATATATATATATATAATTTGTGATTAATAAATTAGAAACTATAAAAAATAAATCTTTTTCAAGTAAATGCACCTGTGTACAGGTAATCTAACAGTGAAAAAAAATAAAGAAGACTGATACGCTGCCAGTGCTGTTAAGAACTGTGAGGCATTCAAGTTTCAAGAAACACAGAACTGTGAGAAGGAGACACGTCGTTGACCACGTGGTCATGCAGTATCACATATAACAGCAAGTCAACCGTCACATGGGCTTATCCTCGAATTTCCCACCAAAAAGATACTCTGATCCGAACCTTTCTAAAATGCCTCACCAACTCCTTCTCAAAACTTAATTGTTCGAAAATTAATCAATCCAAAAGAAGCTGGTAGAGATAGATAGTGATGCAGTGGGTAGTATGTTATAATTTATTTTATAAATTATAAATAAATTATATAAATAATCTAAAATATATATTTATAAATCACTAAAACATGTCAAGACTTAATAAAAATCTGATCCGTATCATACTAGAATAATATTTTTTAAAAATTATAATTTTTTATTTAATTATTAAATAATATTTAAATTTTTTATATGAATTTTTAGAAACTATTTTTTTATAGTCATTGCATTGATATATGGAACCATTAAATTTTTAAATATCAAAAGTCTTTCTGAGACCCTTGATTTTGATGATTTTTGTGTTTTATGTTTTGTGTTTTTATTTTTAGATTTTTTGTTTTTTATATTTATAATTTTAGATTTTTATTTTTTATTTTTAGTTGGGGTAGTATTTCTGACTTGTTGAAAGCTTTGTATAAACTTTATAGGGAGGCAAATTTTATTATCATTACTTTTTTTTTAGAAAATAATTAAACTTGTGAATTCTAGCGCTTCTTTCACCCCATTTAAAACACTATGTGTTCTTTGTTTAATTATTATGTTTTGCATCCGCCAGCATCACCAAGGAAGATAATGACTCATTTAATCTCCCTACAAAAGAATTTTCGTTTTTTTGTATTTTTTTATATATATAAAGCAATAAATATTCCAGTATTTTAACAGAGATACTAAAGTATGAAACGATATATGTCATCTGCTAAGTTATTGCTTACTGATCTATAATGCTCAGAAGGAGGAGCACGAAACTGAAATGACAGATGCAATAACTGGAACAGGAAGACTTCGCTGCTTCTTTTCACAGGCATCCATCTTGCATAAATCCAGATTTCCATCCAAACTGGCATTACGTAAAATATTGTCAGATGTAACAGAGAATCAATGGTTATGTACCAGTAACAAATAACCCAATCAGAGTGACCATGCTTAACTTTTGAAAGTTAGCCAGACCATCGTGAAGTATACCAAAGCTTAATTCCTTAAACTCGTACTAACATGCAGATAAAAAGGATTTGTACAATCTATTTTCTGACCCCTCTTTGTTCCTTAACGTTTAGTTTCAATCCATGAAAAAAACGGAGCTCACCTCATATGTAAGAAAAGAATTTGGAGAAGAACCAAAGGAGTAGAATGATTGTTTGATTAACATGCAGATAAGCTGTAATTGTTGAAGATGATAACCAAACCTCAGCTGCAACCATCCACTGTTAGACTTTCCCTTGAGACTTTGGGGAACTGCACCTGTGAGTTTGTTCCCGCTCAAATATCTGCAAATAGGAAAAACAATGTCACCACTAACCATGGTAATCTTTGTAAGAACTTCTTGTGGTAAACACCAGAGTATGTTAACTTACAAGATGGTAAGATCTGGGAGCTGCGCGAAAGCTTCTGGCATTGTCCCTGTCAATTCATTCCCTGGAAGAAAAAATGAAATAGATGACAAGAGTATGCAATAGTTGGGAAAAAAAAAAGAGGCTGGTCCTCCACTGATCTGAAGTAAGGACACCCATTTTTGCAACCTTGGAGGAGCCTGAATCCCAATTGATTATAAGAATGATTTGAGGGTCTTGAAATTTTGTTCTATAGAAGGAAACACTGAGCTTCACTCAATTGCGAATGGGAGCTTTAGAATCTTCGGCTTCCTTCCTATGAATGCAAATTCAGATCCTCGTAATGTATATGACAGTTCAGTGATTGTAATAAGTTATTCCTTTATCAAATGCTGTAAACGAACATCACATGAGCATTGTTTTTAACAGTTTTTAAACGGTTTTTAAAATATGAGTATGATTCATTTTTAATTTATTTTTTATATAAATTAAATTTATTTTAAAAAATAAAAAAATATATTTTTTTATAATGTTTTTAATATGTATAGTCTTGAATTGTATATTTTTAATAAATTTTATGTGTGTTGATTTTTATTATAAATTAATTTTAATAACTAAATTCACACAACAAGTTAAATGATCCGTATTATAATATCAAATATATTGATTTATATTTATCTTTTGATTTTTTTCAAATATATTTTTATTTATCATTAATAACTTTTTTATTTATTTATTTACACAATAATTCATAATTTATTTAATTAGATGTGTGTATACCTCTCCATTTATATTTATAATTTTTTAAAGTGAAAAAACACGTTAAAGAATTATATATGTTTAATTTTTTTCATCATGTATTGGCATTTTCAATTTGATCTTTATTTTTATACTATTGTTTTCTTAATTATTTTATAAAAAAAAATTATTTTTAATTTTAGCTTGTAATCTAAGTTGATGATGTATTTTTTTTTTCATCATCACTCTTTTGATTTATTTATTTTTAATGTTTGTATTCTTTTTAATTAACTCTCAAATTAAAAAAAAAATTGTTGCCCTTTAATTTATTTTTTTAATTATAATTCTTATTTTTTTAATTTTTATTTTTATTTTGAATTTTTTATAAAAAAAATTTTCAATTCCATCCTTCAACTTTTTATTTTCTACGGATTGAGATTCATGATTTTTTTCATATGCAATGCTTTGAAATTAGATCTGATAATCCACATTACAAATTTATAAAGTTCACAGAAGTTGTTTTGAAGTTGTTTTTAACTTGATTTTCTGCATTGTATTTTTTAAAAAAATATATAGTTTTCTTTAATTTTTTTTATTAAATTATTTTAATCTTATTATTTAAAATCTAAATATATTAGGTTAATCCAAACCATATTGCTCTTTAATGTTCAAATTACATGCCTATTATAATAGCTCGAATTAGCACACACTAATTTTTTAATTTTATTTTTTTCTTTTATGTTTAATTAGCTAATAATTAAACAATATTATTTTTTTTCTCTAACCACATTTTGTTTTATATACACTTTTATTTGTTATTATTTTTTTGTGATTTAAATAAAACCAGTTTATTTAGTTAGTTAAAATTATAAGTTATTGAATTTTAAAAAATATAAAATATAAAATATGCTTGCAAAAAAAGTAAAAAATATTTTTTTATAATTTTTTTAATATGTGTAGTCTTGAATTGTATTTTTTTTAATAAATTTTATGTGTGTATTGATTTCTATTATAAATTAATTTTAATAACTAAATTCATTAATACAACAAGTTAAATGATCCGTGTTGCGATATCAAATATATTGATCTATATTTGTTTCTTAATTTTTTTTAAATATATTTTTATTTATCATTAATAACTCTTTTATTTATTTATCTACACAATGATTCATAATTTATTTAATTAGATATGTGTATACGTTCTCAATTTATATTTATAATTTTTTGAAGTAAAAAAACACGTGAAAGAATTATATATGTTTAATTTTTTTCATCATGTATTGGCATGTTCAATTTGATCTTTGTTCTTATGCTATTTTTTTCTTAATTATTTTATAAAAGGTTTATTGTTTTTAATTTTAGCTTGTAATCTAAGTTGATGATGTATTGTTTTTTTATTTTCATCATTATTCTTTTGATTTTTTTTTTAATGTTTGTATTCTTTTTAATTAATTCTCAAATTAAAAAAAATTGTTGTATTTTTTTTTCAATTCTAACCTTCAACTTTTTATTTTCTAGAGATTGAAATTCATAATTTTTTTTAATATGCAATGCTTTGAAATTAGATCTAATAACCTGCATTACAAATTTAAAAAGTTCATAAGAGTTGTTTTCTACTTGATTTTCTGCCTTGTATTTTTTAAAAAAAAAATTAATTTTTTTATTAAATTATCTTAATCTCATAATTTAAAATATAAATATATTAGATTAATCCAAACCATATAGCTATTTAATGTTCAAATTACATGCCTACTATGATAGCTTGAATTAGCCTACACTAATTTTTTAAATTTTATTTTGTCCTTTTATGTTTAATTAGCTAATAATTAAACAATATTATTTTTTTGCTCTAATGGCATTTTGTTTTATATACACTTTTTTATTTGTTATTTTTTTGTGATTTAAATAAAACCAGTTTATTTAGTTAGTTAAAATTATAAGTCAAGTTATTGAATTTAAAAAAATATAAAATATAAAATATGCTTGCAACATCTAAATATTTTATTAAAAAATAATATTAACCTGCAACATATGGCAAGGGGCACCTGCCCATCAATTTCCTCTCTCCACTTCTCATCATCCAAATTATTGAAAAAAAAATCCATAAAACACCAGGCAGAAATTTTTAGGTCAAGATTTCAACCGGATGGACATATCATAGACAATACCATCATCCAGATTGCGACAACCACAACATAACTTCACATATAAGATTTTCAATGCAACCAAAGGATAAAGATCATCATCCATCAATGACGTGGGCAGAAGTGCCTGTGCACTCAAGGCAATTAATACCACAGCCTCTCACTGGAATTATAGGAGAAAGAAAGGGAGGTTCAAAACCCAGATCTAAGTCTCTTGCTTGTTTAAACCAAGGACTTCTCAGTTTACAAAGCAGAAAAAGGAGGCCATCATAAGATTTTCTTTTCACCTGAAATCTTGTCTGTTTCCGTTAGAAAACGAAACAGATGCTGCTGCTATTAACAGTGAATCCCATGCAACGCAATTCCTAAGATACTATGTATAATATTAGGCACATATTTGACCAAAGATTTTCGTGGATACAACAGCTTCTTCAGGAAAGTTTAATGGAATACATAGCTGTAAATATACCACAGAATATGGAAAGCAATATCAAGAATATGTAAAGCCCGTTCAGCAGCACCCTGGAAAGTATATTATTGTGTACAGGATTCTACAACTATTAACATACCAAGCACGACCTTAAAGAGACTAGAACTTTCCAAGATGAAGCGGCTAAACCTTGACATGAACTCTAATATATTTGCTACCCACATGGCAGGCTTTCATCTACATATAGAATAAGAGTGACATAAAAGATGGTAATCTTTTAATTACATGATGGAGCTTCCAGAGAGGATCATCAGAAAATACCATGATGGACCTTAAATGAAATCTCATTAATCTGATAATTACACAAAACAGTAGTGGGCAGGCATATTACCTCCATGTTATTCTTTAGCTATGCATTTGCATTTTCTTTGCTGTTCCGTGAGTTCCTGCCATGTTTCAGCCAGTCAAATACTAATATTTCCCTGCTTTTGCATTTCAATTTGTATCACTATCTATCCATGTAAGTGAGGGAACAATTTGGAATCTGTTGGTTACTAGGTGCTCACAAAGGTAAAGACTGCAAAATCTTGTTTCTTTACCGATGGCTTTAAAACCAAATGAACTCAAAATAAGACCCGTGTAAAGAGTACCTGAATCTGCCTTTGAAGAAACTTAACATACTCTAATGCCTCATCTAACATATCAGCAGTGTTTGTTTGCTGCAACAATCAACCATGAAAACACCAAATCAAATAAATGGAAACTAATGGTAACCAAAAGCTCACTGATCCAATATGTCAGTTACGCATGACATAATGAAATTGGATTATTTAAGCCAAGAAGCGGGATTTGTTACAGCAAACTGATGGTATTGTAGTGAAAAAGCTTGACTCGAATGTTGATTTTGTTTTCTACATTTTATGCATCAAGATCCATAATTCTCGCCTGATAACACAACTTGTGCAAATGGGGGGTTTCATCAAAGGCATGAAATTTCATTCCGGTTTTACAAATATTAAGTTTAAGAGGCTGAGAGGAAACTAAATACACGAGAGAACCTGAAGTGAGTAACAACAAGTGCATGATACCAAGATCATTGATAAAATCCACACATAAGTGAGGGGATCAGAAAATCAACAGTGAAGACCGCTAAGATTTTGGACAAAGTTCCAATGAATCAAACCTCTGCTTCATCAAATACTCTATACATGTATCTCTCTTCCCATACAAGCTCCATTAACCAAGGTGGCACTTCCTCCATGCATCAAGGCTTTTGCCTCTTGTTCAGAAACCCTATGAATCTTAGAGGTATTTTTTGTTATTTATGTCTCTTATTGTAGCATACATGAAAAGGAAGATAACAGAAAGACAAGAAAAAGAAAGAAAGAAATCCTTGAGTGTCGAGACAGTCTGCAATTTGATTTGTCTTGTTTTAAAACTCAACAAAACAAGCCCAATAATTAACTCCAATTACAATGTCGAGTGATGAGCATTGTGTTGCACTATAGTGCATTCATACAGGCCTTTGCAGGAGCAACTAAGCAAGCTTGTTCTTAAGGTTTCAAAATACTAATAACTCAAACTAGCAATTAGGTCAGCTCATGGTAATACATTATATTACTTTCTTGAGTGGTCTTTCAGAGGATCATCTATGAATACTTCAGGATTTTGAAAAAATATAAACACCCAATCACGTGTCATGAACATAACAAAATGACACTTCACCAAGAATTAACCAAGGAACAAAATGAAATTATGTAAGAGCAGGCTATCAAGCAACTGTTTTATATAATGAATGATAACACTGTTTGCATTGATGTCGATAATGAAAAGGAGATAAGCATGACCAATATTAATGGCAATAAAAGAGAAAAAATGAGCCCACATCCAAACCATCCACTTGAGATTAAACTGGCATCAAGCAAACCATTAAAAGGGGCTTATTTGGCATTGGGATTGACTATGATCAATTATTCAATAGTTTAACTTTTAAGCTGAGGTAAGCATTCATGCTTTGCTAGGGAGCCAAATTTAGATTCTTGAGTCATCTAACTTAACATTTATACACTCATTTTTCTTTTCTTTCCATCAATGGCAAGAACATATCCACAAAACATTGCTAACTCTTGATGGATGTGTTAAAACTTAATAAAACAAAAAAATATATATAAGAGATATCTTTTGGCTTGGCTAACATGCTTGAGCCATGTAGTTTTCCATTATATTTATAGTTGTACAATCGAAATGTCAAGTGTATAATATGGAAACAAACATGAGCAAAATAAGTAAACAATCAAGTACCCGTTTTAAGCTACTAGCTGGATTATTTTGAATTAGTAACATGAATCATGGGTTAAAGCCTGGATAGGCAGCCAAAACAAAAGGTCACTTGCTCTAAAAAAATTCTATGATTCAAATCTCGATGATGTGCCTGCCACACAACTTTAGCTCACCCCTTCACCATGGAACCAACTTCATGGGTTAACATCCATCCGTCCATTTTTTTAAAAAAGTGTCTTCACAGCTGCTTTTGGCTATCCATTTTGACAATCAAGCATAATTCATTTCAAGACAATGATAACATTAGCTCTCTAGGGCTTCATCCAGCAAAGAGCTTGTAGATGCCATTTTTCAAGCCTTTGCACATCTATCAGCCTTCAACCAAAACTGGTAGTGAACACCTTGTAAGAATAGTTCAAATCCCTTGCTTTCACAAACCCAATAATCATTTAGTACCTCAAAACCAAATTTCTCCTTAGCGTTTGATCAAACATAATCTATGCATCATTTGAACCCCCAAACACAGACAGCCATCATGTACCAAGAAACCTCATTGCCAGGACCATTCCATCAAAATCACTCTTGCAGACAATATGTTTTTGCATTCATCATAGAATCAAGTGCAACATTAATGTCATCAACAACACCACAACTTATAGCAAACTCACGTCATTGTCTTGCGAGGGACTTGATTGACATCGCAGCTATATCAGTTTATTGTCATGGCACTGATTATAAAATATTTCAGTGATTATTTTGGAGACCAAACTTATATGATAGTTTCTAGATTTATAGTTTGTCCTTAAAGAGTTACAAATTCATTTATATAAATTTGGCATGGTCCCATTTTATGTAATAGGATAATAAAAATAGAAACAAAACATGACTATTTTTTGTCTCAAACATGCAACAGGATGACATTAGCAATTAACATTCCTAATTTCTTATTACTCCTTACAGCGGGGAAAAAAACGAGCACCCTGTGACTTTTCTTCCCTCCTTTTTCATTATATCCATATTATACAAGAGGCAAACTCTCCAAGAACGGACTTCAATTTTGAACTCTTACATGAAATGATACATCTAGCAAATCAACGGATTTAAACTTCAATTTTGAACTCTCACACGAAACGATACATCTAGCAAATCAACGGATTTAAAGGATGCTGAAATATATACAGTGCTCCTGAAGCTTTGCAGCACTAGATAGACTTCAAAATCTCTACTAGTTATTCAAAAAGGTTGTTAAGATTCTCTACTGAGGCAAGCATTATGACGATAAAATTGTAATGCTAATTTTTCCATGGTGAAATCAGTGATTACAAAGAAAATCCTATCCCAACAAAATTTGCATTTTCAGTAAGAGTTCACAAAGAAGGTACCTTGTCCATATTTGGAACAAGTTCCTGAAGTTTCCTTATGCGGTCACTGATTCGAGTTCTCCGAACCTAATTCAGAAAAAAAATGAAGTTCATTTAGGAACAACAACAAACACATCCGCTGCCTATCTCTAGAATGCACCAGATTGCTAGCAATTGATTCATCTTACCCTCTCTGCAATACTTCGAGGATGCGTAGCACAGCCACGCTTCGCACGAACCCTGCAAGGCACTGAATCCTCCAAAAGCTTGTCCATCTCCATTTCTATCAAACTAGATGCCCTTAAAGGCCCCGTTTGCTCTCTTTTCTACCAAACCAAATACTGAGAAGACTATAAAATTGCACACAAAAAAATCCTAACATACATAACAAAATTAGCTTGAATTTCACATAACATACAAAAGTAAAATTCTTTTGCTCTATTTTAAATAAACAAGTAATCAATTAAAAAGCCACTCCACAAATAAAAAAGAACCCACATACTGCCACAGAAGATAGAATAAATTCACTAACAAGAAACAGTCAATTAATAGCCAACATCAGTTACATATTAGAGTGAACATACCGACGGAGGAGGTGGGTATCTTGCAGAAGGGTTTTGCAACTCAACCTCTCTAGCTCTTTTATCAGAAGGCGAAACATCCATAGTTGGCGTCATATACTCATAATTTGAAGCATTTCCGTAACTAGAAAAATACCCTTGATCACTTCCAATCCCAGAACTCCGAAGAATATCAGTTGGAGAGCTATTGTTCCTTTGAAAACCACCAACCGGTTCAAACAAACCCGGTTCAACAGCAGCACTGGAAGCATTAAAAGGCACTGAATCTCTACTTGAAGGTGTGTTTGAAGTAAGTAACTGAGTCAAGTTCTGACTTTGCTTTAATGGGTCCTCTTCTTCTTCTCCAAGAAGTGCTTCTATCCATGTGGCTGGTGCTGAACGAAACCTAGCAATCCCTCCACCTCCACCTCCACCTCCACCTCCACCTCCACCGCCACCAGCGCTACCACCACCAGCACTAGTGTTGCGGCTTCCGGATGGTATTGGTTGCATCTGCTTCTTCACTCGGGTATTAGAAGCTTTAGTGTTTTTTTTTCCTCTTTTGTTGGGTTTTGATATAGAAAGTGAAAGAAAAAGAAAAAAGAGCAATATTTCCTCTTTTTAGGACTTCACTTTTGCGGTAATAAAGAGAGCATGGAACTAGATTTATAGTTCTCGTCTGTTTTTTATTTTTGCGTATTGACTCTATACATCGCACGTGTAGGTGTGTCCATGTGTGTCTTACTCTTGTAACCCTTGATGAGAATACTTTTTCCTCAAGATCAGATGAAGGGTGGTTAAGTAGGGAGGTGTTACACGTGAATTGTAGATATCAGAAAGCTTGAAGAGCTGCAACGCCATCGTTTTCCAGATTTGATCACTGTCCGTGCTTCCTGACGGTCAAGAACTAATCCCAGATGCAAGGGTATCCCGTGATTTACACGGACCAATGGAGAAGAATCTAGGTGGGAAAGCAAGGGAGGAGATTGGCGTGCGTGGGTTAAGAGAGTGGAATGATGGTTTGTTTTTTTTTACTTATTCGGTAGGGTACGAAAATGTGTTTGCTTTTTCTGGCAAATTTGTGACCGCCCATCAACTCTATATATGCAAACAAGGAGGATGTGGCCCTCTTATTCACTTTCTTATCAGTGTCGGGTCCTTTTCTTCCTCATAATTTAGGGCTAAGTTGGATAATTTCAAGCTTTTAATTCAAGGTCTTCATCATTGTCAATGGAGAATTGGATAGTGCATGTACTCAACTTGAGATGGCTAGAGGCTTCCATCGCACAAATCTTGATCTTGTTCAAGGTTTATAAAAATTCCTTTTCATATTCCTGTATTTCTTTTAAAAAAAACATAAAAATATTGTGAAAATAATTTCAAAAAAAATCATAAATGAAACATTTTTATGTACTTGGATGAAAAAAATATAATAATAATAAATTTGACAAAATCATATAGGAATTGAAATGTGTATTTTATTATCATTCAATATTAACAAGAATTTTTTAAGAAAAATATACACACTAGGTTAATACATCATTATTCATAAAATAATATAATTGTTGATGTTATCATAAAAAAAAAACTCTAATCTTCTATAATTGGATGAATTTTTAATTTTTATTTTAATAAATTCATTTAAATAAAATATAATTCTAAAATTAAAAAAAACTAAAAAACCATTTTTTTCAAGTAAAATATAATTCTAAAATTAAAAAAAAAAACTAAAAAACCATTTTTTTCAAGTAATGTTCATCGGATATTTAACAAAAATGGCAAGAGTACATAGCTTGTCTTTCCCAGGGTCATGTGCTTGACCTTGTAGGAGAAATTGAATAAAACAATGAAAGTTAACTATGTAACAAACTAAATAATAATAAATTAAATTGAAAAAAATATAAAAAACTTAAATTAATTTGTGTGAGCTCAACTAACCCACAATCTAAGATATGAGATCGGGATAATTCTATTGCAAAGAAAAAGGCATATAAAATCACAAAACTTAAGATATAATGACTTAATATTGAAGGATTGAAAAAATTAATTTTAGAAAAAAAAGACCTAAAAAACACCAAAATTAAATTGGGTTAATTTTTAAAACAAATGACCTGAATCATGAAACCAAAATTATTTCATAGAAAACAAATATAAAATAATCATGAAACAAAATTTCTAATCATTTAAAATTAAAAAATAAAACAAATAGCAATCAAGAGGTTGAAGACTAAATCTAGTATAAAACAAAACAAAACAAAATATTTTTTATTTTTAAATACATTTATATTTTTTAAAAGATTAAATTACCCTTCATTCACATTAGTGATAATTTTAAAACCATTATGAAAAAAATAGAAAAAACTTTAAACATTATTTATGATTTTTTTTGCTTTTAAATACAATGTAGTTATTCCACTATATTATCAAAGATGTAAAAAGACGGAAAACCTTCTAGATTCTAATTTTAAAAATTTTATTTTTAAAAGTATTTAAATTATTTTATTATGTATCTAAAAGTTAGAAGACTAATATATTATGTATCAATATAATAATGACAAATGAACTTTATAAAGAAGATAAAAGTGTCCCCAATAGTTAGTTTATAAATAATTTTATTTAAAAATAAAAAATATTATTATATTATTCTGAATCACTATAAAATAAATATAGAGACACAATTATTTACATAAGGGTTTTTGTTTTTTAATAGATTCATGCATTCAGTCACAAAAACTTGCTTTTTGGCACCGATATATCACTTGAACTTATTTCTAGAAAGGCAGCAATTCACGAATTGCAATCGTAATATCAATATTTTCTTTATCATAAATATATGAAAAAGAATAACATTATTGAATAACTTTTTTCTATTTTTAAATCTTAATTCCTATTTAAATCGCTTAAATATATATTCCGACAACATATTATTTAAAGAATTTTTAAACAAAAGTCAAACGAGAACCGGTCTTGCATTAATGTAGTTAAAAGATGCCAGTTTTTGTCTATCTGTCTGCTGTCACCAAAATAATAAATTAATAATAATCTGCTTATTCTCTCTCTCTTTCTCTCTCTCTCGTGAATAATCAATTTTAGTTTTTTTTTTCCTTATTCTTTACCGATCAATATATCCTTGGATCAATTTTTATATATCAATACTAATTTTTTTATAATGCGAGATTTTAAATAAATTACAATTATATATATATATATATTAAAAATTAAATTAAATTGCTTAAGAAGTTACTTGGTACATAAAAGCAAAACATTATTCCTTGTAATATTGTAATGATAACTTATCTTGCAATTATAAATCATTATAATATTGTAATGATTACTTATCCTATAACTGTAAAACCTTTGAATTTGACATTGGAAGCGATACAATGTTATTCAATTATCATTTTTAAATTATGCAAGTACAATCAATCTTTTTACTTTTTAAGTATAGTAAATGACTTATTTACACCTTAAATAAAAAAGAATTTAAACTTATATCTAGGGCTTTTTAGTCTTTTTAATGCTGTTAGCATAGTTAAAGAAAAAATTTACTATACTATCTTGTAAGAGTATGTCATCATTTCATCCTGGTTTTTGGTTAACATTACGTAAACCATCAATTATTAATTTAAAAAAAACTTTTGGAGGAGTGTAAGCAAGGGCTATGACCCTCGTGCTATTTGTGCAATGCTGATTGGTTATCAAATATTGCACGGCAGTGTTTGAATCATCTTAACATATTTTTCATATTGAGGAGGCACGAGTGGCCAACGGTTCCTTTGTTATTAATTATTACTAGAAAATTAATAAATAAAAATAAAAATATTAAAAATATATTTTTATTTGTAAATTTTCGATAAATTTTACCAATGGATATATTCTCTAGTTATATACCGAAAGAATTAAAAAAATAAAAAAATAATTAAAACAAAGCAAACAAACGATGACGTGTTATTTTTACCAACATAATTATTCTCATGGTAAATTTTGTCAGTAAAATTATTGGTAAATTGTGAATACCATTCATCATGTTAATTATAAAGGGAATTACTGACAGAAAATTTCATCGATATGTTACAGAGAGCTCTGAAACCATTCATTATGTTTTGAAATCCCAAAAATGGATATCATAACCAGTTTATGATCATCCATTAGGGTTGCCCAAAATATCAAAAAAGTTTTCTTTCAATTTTCTTTTTTAGGATCCAGATGTAAACTTTAATATGTATAGGTATAAAATTACACGATAAAATACACCTTCAAGCATTAAAAATACAAAGCGTAAATAAATGTTAAAATTTAGACTTTAGAACGGTTATGATTTAATCCGATAAGGTAGAGATTCTCTCATGAAGAGAGATCTGCCTTAAGCCTTAGATAAGACCAATAAATAGCAACCCAACCTAAAAAATAATCAAATAACAATGAAGTTTACCTTAGGTAGGGTGCACTGAGGGTGATGCATCTTTCCCTTGCACAACCAGTCCTTTACCCAGACTCTCGCAAACCATAGGTTCTTAGTGACCATAATACTAAGTGAACACTCCTCAAACTTAATAATAATTCTTGGCGACTCCCAAAAATTAATCATAATTTTTCCAACACACAACACTCCACAACAATACAAATACTAATAGAAAATTCTATCAATAAATCTAAAAATTGTGGTAGCGGATGACCTTTTTGCTTCTTTTTTCTCTCTCCTTTTCAATTTTCACTCCTACCATTTCAAAACATCAAACCAATCCTTTAATTTATTATTCTTTTATATTTTATCTCTGTTTTTTTACTATTATTATTTTATTTACAATAATTTATAAATTGAAATTCCTTTTCAATTGCATCTTCTTCAATTTTTTTATTTTCCAAATTTGGTCCTTATTTTTTTATTTTTTTTATTTTTTTAGATATTTTTTTAATTGATTTTTGTTTACAATTTCATCCTCAAGTTTTCTTTATCAAATTTGATCTCCATTATTTTTATTTCTATTTTTTTACTTTGAAAAAATCTTTAAATTAATTTTTTTTTATCTCATCCTTCGATATTAAATTAATTGAGAATTTAACTTTTATATTAAGTCTGAGTTTAGGATTTTACAGGTTGCGAGTTTTAAATTTTAAGTCGGGTTTTAGAAGTTTATCCAAGTTTACTTGGTTTTTTTATTTGTCATTTTTTAAGCTCATATTTTTTTTTAATTTTATCATTAAGCATTTATTCAATTAAAGCTTAGGCTATATTATTTTAAGTTATTTACTTCCTATAATATTGTTCACTAATTTTAAAAATAACCTGAGTTATTTTGATTTTTTTGTATTTATGATTCTTTATTGAATTTATTTTGGAAAAAAATTTTGATTGATTTTTTTTTATTTTATCTTTCAAAAGTATATTAGTTAATAATTAATTTTTTTTTTCAATTTCATCCTTCAAGGTTGAATTTTTTTATATTGAGTTTCATGATTTTTCTTCAATTTTCTTTCTATTTGTTTATTCTAGTTCTGTCACTTGACCGCAAGTTAGCGTGGGTTAACTCATGTTTTTTTAGGATATTTTTTTAATTTAATATTTGTAATGTTTTGTTCTTCAACATTGGATTGCTTTAGAATTGAGCTTTGTGATTTTTTTTTTATGTTTGCTTTTTATTGAGTTATCTTATTTGCATGATCCAAATTGTAGAGTTTGACTGGCTTACTTAATTTACTACTTTTTTTTATCCTTTTCATTTAATAGATTTTTCTCTCTCAAATGCATCCCTTTACTTTTGGTTTTGTTTGGAATTGGATTTTAGATTCTTTTTTTTTTTTGTTGCTTTCTTTTGATTTATCTTAGTTTAGTTATTTAACTTGTATATTTGACATGCTTATTTAATTTGGATTAGATCATTTATTTTCTTTAATTTTTTTTTCATATGATTAACTAAAATCATAGCTTTGTTGTCTTTTTTGTTTTGATAATTATTTATTTTTGCATATTCCCATTATTCCTTTTGGTTTAAATTGGTCTATTTGGTATCATTATCTTTTTTTTATTATCTAATTAAATTACACCAAATTTATTTTAGTTAAATCTATGCTTCAAGTCATTTGAAAAAAAAAATACTTGCATCACCAAAACTTTTCTGTTTAATCAATAAAAGAAATATGCCCACAAATCTAATATACACTATAGAATATATTTATGGGATCAATTTTTAATTTCCACTGCTTTCTCTTAAATTTCAACAAGAGTACGAAGAATCTATTTTTCTTTTTTCTTTTTATGTTTTTTTGGAAGCATATGGTCTCTAATGTTAGAGTTATACTAGTGTCCAATTTTCTTTTATATATATATAAAGTAATTACGGACAAAACGTGTTACATGTTAGAATTATGTTATAAGTGCATAATAACTGTTCCAATTAATAAATCACTCAATCGACAATTAACTGAACTTGTAGCCAAGTCGGCTTTCAATATTATATAAGCATGTTACATTAATTATATTATTGTTTTAGTATTTCTATATCAAGAAGTATTTTTTTTTCCATAAGAACAAGATATTTATGAGAATAAATTAAAGGGTTTGTTCATTAAATATAGGCACCTAATAATGCAAGTTTTGCATCTCATATAGCGAAAAAGGTCGTTCACACCCTAGAACACCACTCGTTTCCTCTTTCAGGCATATTAAAATTTAGAAATTGCTCATTTTCTAGTATGAAGATTTTAATATATGTTTATATTGTATTTTAAAAATATTTTTTTTTTAAATATATATATATTTTTATTTACTTCAAATAATTTTTTTAATATTTACCAATAATTTCAATATACTAATACCAAAATTATTATTTTAAAAAATATATTAAAAAATAACCACTACAACCCTTCCCAGCGCACCAATTTAAATATCAGACAAAGAGCTGGTCCAAGCTTGACCTCAACTCTCCAAGTTAGCTACCAACTAAAATTCGCGACACCCATTTGAAAGGTCACGGGCATGGTAAAGCATTAATGTGCTGGAGAGAGAAGGTATCTATGTTGATTATGACCCCATCTAAATCAGATTTTATGACCATCTCCTTGTATTTATTTATTTATTTTCTAGAAAGAATTGACATGGAGGGTCTTTTTTTTTTCTAGAAAGAATTGACATGGAGGGTCTTGAGAAAGAAAAAGAATGCAATTTTATTGAATCAAATTGGGAAGATAGTAGAGGGAGAAAACAAATAAGAGAAATAGATCAGAAATCTTCTAATATTCAAACAATTCTATACATATATGCATGGTTTAATTGATATGTATGCAATAACTTATTTCAATAAAACAAGTTCTAGTGTTAATAATTTTAGTATTTTTGTTTACAATATAATAGTAAAAATTACCTCTATTGTATACTCCAAGATCATTTGAAACAAAACAAAATAAAGAAATTTTACCGTCTAATATAATTACAATTTGATTTTAGTTTCTACAAAATTATTAGATGTAATGAAAAAACTATACTTTGATCACTATGGTTAAACCTGTCCTAGCCTATCCAACCTTAACCTTGGTTGAGTATAGAAAAAATTATTATAAACTAGAGAAGTTAACTTATAATATGATAAAAAAAACTTGTTTGAGTTTAATTTTTTTATAATTTTTTTTTTATTTTTTTTAAAAATTATTAATTCATATTAACTCATTTAATATATACCCCAAACTTTGTTTGTATCGAGTCATCCCTTAAATTAAGTTTAATAAGAGTGACTTTGATTACCACTAACCAAGGATTGAGATTAAACTCTACAAACAATCTACCGTAGGGTATCATAGGTAATTTAAGGACCTAATTAAAATTATAAGGATGCAGTTGACATTGAAAAAAACTTCAAGAAACCAAACTGTCTTTATGCCAAATTATCTTGATTTAACACTAAAAAGAGTGATTATCAATTTTCTTAAGAAAATAATAAATCTGAAATCAATATTAAATTGAAGGACTGCCTTTCCCTTACAGCTTCCTTAATAAATAAATAAACAGTTTCAAAGAGTTTTTAACCACAACAAAAATCTAACGTCACTGTCGACGATCAGATGCCCTTCATGTATAAAAATCCCCACTCACATGACAACCCTCCCCCTCTTCCAAAACCCAAGATTCCACCACCACCACCACCACCACCACCACCACAAATTCGATCTCCTCCGCCGCCATCACCACCACCACGACAATCAAAACCCCACCATGTTTTCCCCACCTTACCGGCTCATGCTAGCCACCAGCACCTGGCTGCGAACCCGAAGGAGCCGCCGTGTCTTGCTCCTCCTCTTCTCACCGATCCTCCTTCCCTTTCTTTGCGCCACCTTGCCTATCCTCTGGGCCGCCGAGCTATGCGTCAGCCTCTGCCACCGTAGCCGGAGGAAGAAAGATGAAGACGGAGGCGATCGGTTGCGGCGGTGTGAAGAGGGGTTTTGTGACTGCGAATGTGAAGAGGAAGAGGAGAAAGAAGTTGGGTTATTGCAAAGGTATTTAGAAGATCAGTTACGGCTTGTTGGATCCGTGTATGAGTGTGGTGATGAGTTTGATCATCACAATGATGGCGATGATCAAGCTGATCATGATCATATTCTTAACACACCTCTTCTGGTTTAATTTTCTTTAGATTGTTTTTGGGGGTTTGATATAAATTAAAATTAGGGCTTAACCTTGTTAATTAAGCTCGAAGGGGTTTTGTTGATTTTAGGATTTCTTAATCTAATTTTACTCTTTTTTTTTCTGGGTTGTTTTCAAATTTTATTTTGTATATGGTAATTTGTGAAAGCAATGATGCTCAGAATCTTAAATATTTGCTTTTGAAGTAAGAAAAATCATTCTGTTCAGTAATTCATACTTCACAGGCCCAGGCGTGTGAATTCATCATGCGAGCTTATTCTCCGTGCTTTGACATTTATGATTCAATTAATATGTGTTTGTTGTGCTGAATATTGTTTTTATTTAAAAATGTATTAAAATAAAATTTTATTTTTAAAAAGTTATTTTTAATATCAATATATTAAAATAATTTTAAAATACTAAAAAAATATAATAAAAAAATTATTATTTTAAAATATTTTAAATAAACATGGTTTAATTTAAAAAAAGGCAACCTAGAAAGGTGTATATTGTATATCAATCATAGTCAATTTAGACAATATGGAGCATTGAAGTTCGATGGCTTTATTTTATAAGAATTAAATTGATATTTTTTTTTAATTTTAAATAAGTATTAAAATGATAATTTTTTCAAACTAAATAATATTTTAATGAATTTTTAGATACATTAAAATACCCCATTTGATTAAAATTTTAAACGGACATTTAGATTCGAATAATGACTTTTTACCTTTTCACAAGAAAATAAAAAAACCAGAGAGAGAGAGAGAGAGAGGAAGATTCTGTCCAGTATGGCACAGTTGTACAAGGGCTGCTCAATTCAGCATACCAACCGGCGCCGTTTGTGGGCCAACCCCGATTGGCAAGATGATTCTGGTATCCAAATGGGGGAAGCACCTGTCCTTGTTTCTTTTATTGGACATCTGAGTGATGGGGAAATCATCGAGGATGTTACAGGAATTTGACAAGTACACCTACCCTTTTTAGGTCAGCTCTTCGGTGTCCTTTTGTCTTCATCTTTTTTGTTCTCTTCTTCTTCTGGTCTGTTCTGCCCTGGTGATTCAATTTTCTCACGGCGAGGCTGCTATATTTACAGATACAATTCTAATTTTACTGAAAGTTCTGTTCTCTGAATCCACTTCCTTGGGAGTCAGAATATTATGTTTGTTAACGGGATGCATTTATCTGAGTATTTTTTGGATTCCAGCATAGTTAAAAAAATATATATAATGTAAAAAATATTTAAAAAAATAATACTATTTGAAGCATAATAAATGACATCTACACCATGCAAGTTGTAAGTATCATCTGGACTTTTTCAAATAGTAAACTATTGGGCACATCAATTAAAAGGAAATGGAGAGCGAGAGGAAAGAAAAAAAAAGATTTTGGATGCATATTAAAATCTTGATAATAACATTATTGGTATTTTTAGAAAGATTTCTATGAAATAAATCAACAATACCAAAAAAAGTCACTAATAGTGACCGGAATAGGTCACACAACCAGCCCAAATGCAAGTGAACCTGACACCTTTAGATTGCTCGTGTTGTGACATTTTTTCGTATTATTAGATTCATCTCGTTGGGATTTTTTTAATAGTATCAATGTGCTTCCATGGTTATTTTCTTTCTTTTTTTTGTTTTCTCTTTTTCCTCTCTCCTCCTTTTAATTTGTAAAGAGGGATGATGGAGAAAAATAATAATAAAAAGACCTTGAAGATATATTGAAACTCCGATAATAATGCCATTAATACTGTTGGAGTGATTTTGATGACAAGAATATAACAACACCAAGGAAAGTTACCAATGGTGATTGGAGTGGGCCATACAAGCCGTTCAAAGGTGTTGGAGCTCACTTGTCCAATCTACTCACCGTTGGTGATCTTTTTTGGTGTTGTTATATTCATCTTATCAAGATTTTTTTTAATAGTACTAATGGTGCTATCATCGGAGTTTTGGTGTGTTTTCAGAATCTTTTTCTTTCTTTCCTATTTGTTTTCTCTCCTCTCTTATTAAATGTTGTGTCTATCAATTTTGCAATTTAAATGGTGAATCACGAATAATAAATATCATCTATAATTCTCTAAATTGTATTATTTTTTTATTTTATTTTATTTTATGGTATATCTTTTTTACAATGCTAGAAAACAAAAAAACTCAATTATTCAGTACATAGAATTTCCGCTTAATCAACGTCTGAGCCAAAAAGATTTTTCAATGGGATTAATTCATAGCCCTTACCTGTTAAAAAAATATATATTTAACTTGAGAATGCTTTTTTATTTGTTAAAAATAAAATAAAAAACATGATACAATGAGTAGTGAGTTGAATTTTTTTTTTATTTTTTTTTATGATTAATTTGTATTTCAATAACATTCGATAATAAACTCATCATTGATAAAATTATTGAAATGAAATACAACAAAAATAAGATTCAATACCAAGGTTGTTAAAATCGTTTTTAAAACTAGAATTGTTGGAGAGTCCTTAAAATTATATCATAAGATCAAATTGTAAAATCAGAAGATGTTGCTCATGTAATAATACTATTAATTAATTATTTTTCTAACACGTATCATAGCTAGCTATTTTTATTGTTAATTGTAAATATGAAATTCAAAGATGTTATGTCCATGGATTCATACTGTGTTCATGTAAAACAAGGCTTAACCATTGTCAAAAAACCATCTCACCTAAAAGTTTAAGCTGTTAGGTGAGGCTTCAAGATATAATTTATATTATTTTCTAACACTCCCCCTCAAGTGAAAGCCCTTTGGGTTTGAAACTTGCACAGGCCCACATTACCTTGTGCTTAATTTTTTTTATCAAATAAATGATGATGATGAGATTCGAACTCGAGACCATTTGGTCATCAATACTCTGATACCATGTTAAAGAATCATCTCAACCCAAAAGTTTAAGCTATTAAGTGAGGCTCTAAGATATGATTTATATTATTCTCTAACAACCATCCAGAATATAAGATAAATTTCATTCTACGTAGACAAAAATTCTTGGGTATATCAAATCATTGATCCATGGTATAAGGTTTTATCTAAGTAGAATTAGATTAGAGACTTTCACAACACTAAAGTCAACCAAATCTTTAACTCTTATATTTGAATCGTGTTTAAAATATAGAAAAATAACTGGATAAGGAAGGATTTTTTTTAAGGGGAGTGGTAGCTTGAAAGCCTAAAATAAAACAAATTACATATTTCTAAAATTATGAAATCATAAAATCTACATGATTTTATCGATTTAACAACTTATTTTTATTAGGATCTTAATCAATTGGGATTTTTAGTACATTTTGAATCATAAAATTATTAGATTTTATGATTTGATAATATTTTCTAATAACCATATGTACAATATCAAAATAAATGACTCAAAATGCAATAGTAGGTAAAAAAGAAATGAATTTTTAAAAATCATAAAATTCTATTCACTATTAGAAACCTAAAACATTTTTGTATGTCAAGGAAATTTTCTATAATTAAGAAAGCAAGTGAAGTTCTTAGAACAAGGTAAATATAAAATGATGGGTATAACATCAAGTTCTCCGCCAATGATATGCTCTCCTTCTCTATAAAAAAAATTCAAGGGAGTGGTGTATAAATACACCCAATCACCATGCTAGGAAGCTAAAACATTTTTTTTCTAACCACACATGCTAGGCCATACAATCCAAGTTTTGCAAAATCTAGCCAAAAACCTAACCAAGCTAAAACTTTTTTTTTCTAACCACACACGCTAGGCCATACAATCCAAGTTTTGCAAAATCTAGCCAAAAACCTAACCAAGCTAAAACTTTTTTTTTCTAACCACACACGCTAGGCCATACAATCCAAGTTTTGCAAAATCTAGCCAAAAACCTAACCAAGCTAAAACTTTTTTTTTCTAACCACACACGCTAGGCCATACAATCCAAGTTTTGCAAAATCTAGCCAAAAACCTAACCAAGTTAGACCATTATAGAATTTTTAAGCCAACACACATAAATACACATTCTTGAGACTTCATTTTTTTCGTCTTCCTATTTATTTATTTTTTTCTTTTTATGCATCTATTGATTTAATATTAATTTTTTTTAAGGGACTTATCTTTACAAGTGAAATTACAATTACTAGCCAAGCCCATCAACTAGTGGTAAGCCTAATTGCATGATCTATTGATCCAACTGTGAAAAGTTTAATTTATGTGTGAATTTTTTCCATGATTTCAAAACTAATAAATAACATTTGTTCACAATTAAATCATAATTTGCTAGTTTCACATAGTCTTATCAAGATCCATGTAAAGTTAAAAGTTATAATAAGTATTCTTCAATATTTTAGTTTTTATAATTATGATTTCTATTATTGTTACCCCCTTTTGACCTTAAAAAGAAGGATAAAAAATTCCAAGAATACAAGAAGAATGCCTAGAAGATTGTCCAAGTTGGTGGTAGAGAATCAACAACACAAGTGAAAAAGTTGGAGGACTAAAATGTATAAGATTGACAAAAATAAAAAAACCCAATTCTGACTGACTAAAGGCTCAATTGGTGAAAATATTTTTATTGGGGGTAAATAAATATAAATTTGAATGGTTAACGATTCGATGGGAATTTTAAAAGTTTTAATTAATTTTATTAAGAACTTATTTGCAAGGAAAATCAGTTTTTGAAGTCAATTTATGTGTTAATAAGAAGAAATTGAAGTCTGAGGATTGAAATTAAACTTTTAAAAGGTTTAATTGGTCAAATTAAAGGTTTCATTGTAAATAAATTAAAGTTTAAAAGCAAATTAAGGACTCAATTGCAGATTCTAAAAACTAAGGACCAACCTGTAAGTGGCACACAATTTTGAAAGTAGAAATTGGTTAAATGAGGGGTCAAGTTAAAAGGAATTGAATTTTTTTTAGTAAATTAAAGATGAAATTGAACAAATTAAAAACCAAGGACTCGTTTGTAAAAAGCATTGAACTTCGGGATTGATATTTGAATTTAGCAGGGATGCAATTACATGCAATTAAAAGTTAGAAGATAATTACAAATACAATTAAAAAATAATTGAAAGAGTAAGGATCAAATTAAAATTAGACAAATTCCATATTAAAAAACCCTAATTTTTAAGGTTTAACATGAACGATGTGTCGTTCGCCTACTGTTCATCTCCTTTATTAACAGTTTTGAATGATCAAGTGAGCATGTTCAGCAAAATGAATATGGCATTTTCGATCATCTCGGGTGAATAAAACACCCCCTTTACAACCTTATGTCCATGAAGTTAGATATTTATATCTCAATTCTTCCACGAAAGTCTCCAACATCTTATCCCTAATTAGCTTTTCCTGTATTTTCAGATTCTGGATTAATCAAGTTGATATATTTAGATGAATGAATGTAAAGCTACAAACCTTTAAATTGAGCAAGGTTGGATTCAAAAGGCGTGCACCTCCTCTACAAAATTTAGGTGGTTTTCAATAATGTTTATATTGGAGTTGCTTTAGAGAAACCTTAAAAATAGTTAACCCAATCAATCTTGATTGTGACACTTATTTTTTTAAAAAAACATCTATTTTTTCCATGTATTTACGCTTGAAAGCTTCTCAGATGGTTCTTATGAAGGGCTTTAAAACCTCCATCTAAAGATCAAAATGTCAGAAAAATGGCTCATTGCCTTCCAAGTCTAGCGAAACCACCATTGCAAAACCAGCCTAGTATAAGAGCTTCTAACTATTAACTTTTGTCTGGAAGTCTTTCATTTTGATTAAATGATTAAGCGTTGATCAGTCTTGGATGGAATTCACTAAAAAATCTAGAAAAACTTATAAATACTTCTTAAAAATAAATAGAAAAAAGAAAAAGGTAGGAGGAGAAAAGAGAAGAGAAATACTGAAAACAACCCTAGTTCTGAAGGCTCACAAGCCTAGCACAAGAGTCTCATTAGCATTGAAATGTTTGAAATTACTGGAGGTAAAATTCTTTTTAAAAGTGAGCAAAAGAGTAGCGGCTATTAGTTTAAGTTTGAAAGGTATAAAACCTCATCTAACCTAGCATGTGATATCAATGAGGCACATCTCTATTATTTTCTTGTATGTTTAATGATGTTATTAAATATTTTTTGGTGTAATGTTTTTCGACACTTATGTGGGTTGATTAAGGAAAATATTGTTTTGTTTGGTTAATTCTATTTTGAAATTATTGTTAATGGTTTTTTGGATGTTTAGAAAATGTTTAGATATTTTTTCCATGAAATAAAATGTTCTAAAATATGCCAAAAGATGATAGTAGAGGTTTTTTTTTTGTGTTGGGTAATACATGTTTTTGTCTTTGTTTTTTTTTTACCGAGTCTCATGAAATGTTAAAATATCAGTTTTAAACCTCAATTTGTTGAACATACTTGTTGTTTTAGTTTGGCGGTTTTTAAAAGTAAAACCTCATGCATGTTTTTGATAATTTGATGTTATTTATTAATTCTTTTGATTTAAATATCTTTAACTTTACCAATATGGTTTGTTAAGGTAAAAAAAATAAAAATAGAAGTTAAAGCCTCAAATAGGCATTTCTTGGGTGATGTATTTCTGGGTTTTTGTTGTTGAATGTTCTTCACGTTCATCCAAAGAACATTGTCTTAAGTACTAATTGTAGGTTTCGTTTTGATTTGATCTTCATTTTTACATGTTTGTATAACTTGTTTAATCAATAATTTAGGATTTATTGCATCAATAATAAGTTTCTGAAGGGTTTTAATCCTAAGATTTCAGTTTTGAGTTCAAACCTATTTTGGTAAAATCGTATTGATTTTTTTTTATAATCGAAGTGAATGGATGTTTGATTATTGGCTTATACATGATTGCAAATGAAACCTTGCATTTAAAAAGAAATACATTTTTTTTTATCTTACTCTATTCATTATATGGTGTTTGAGAGTGTAATAATACTTATTTTTTAAAGTATTTTTCGCTTGAAAATATATCAAAATAATATATTTTTTAAAAATTATTTTTAACATTAACTTATCAAAATGATCCACAAACATCTAAGAAAAATTAATTTTAAACAAAAATAAAATTTTAAAATTTTAAGGAACACATTTCTAAATAACTCATATCTTTTTAGTGAGGTCTTGATTTCTTAAACTTAATTTAATAGTTCAATAGCTTTTACTTTTTAATGTTTTTTTAAAGAATATTTACCTTACAAATATTAAATTAATTTTTTTTAATGTTTTTAAGATGCACTTGACTTTCTAATATTAAAATTAAAAAAATTTAAATCAAATTATTTTAATATATTTTTAATTAAAAAATATTTTTTAATAATATCATAAATCGCACTATATACACCGAAAGAGTCAATGTTGTTTTTCAATAAAAGTTGCCTGCCACGTCCAAGTGGAATATAGGGCTTTCTTCACAGCTTTATTAGGATAAGTTCTTTATCCTGGATTAACATGTGTTGATAAATTGACATTTTGGTCGGTTATTATTTTTTTCTTTTTTTTATTTTCTCTTTATAATTATTTTTTTAAAAGTGATTTTTTGAAAAATTATTTTTTAAATTTTTTTGTATTTGCTATTAGAGAAGTTAGTCAATGAAAAACACTTATCGGTTAATGAAAAACATTTTCCAGTTAAGAAAAAATTTAGTTTGGTTTTCAGGAAAGTGTTTTTCTTTTATTTTGGACTGAAAACACTTTCCAAAAATAATGAAAATCTAAAAATATCATATTACTTACTGATTCTATCAAATATGATCCTCAAACTTTTGATTGTTATATATGTGTGTGTATTTTGTTTTGGATATTTGTTGTTCAATTTCATCTCTTAAAATTTAATTTTTATATTAACTTTGGTTCTCATTTTTATAATTTTTATTTATTTTTTTCTTATTATTTTTTAATTGAAAAATTTTTATCTATCAAATTTGGTCCTTATTAT